TTCACTATGGCAATTTTTAGCTTATTTTTGTCAAAAAAGACCCTCTAGCGCCTAAACGGTTAGAGATAGAGCAAAACGGACGAAATTTTCGCCCAGAGGGCTCTACTTTGACGGGTTACCCCTTAGGGGAACATAAAAAAAAAAAAAATACTTTTTGGAAGAATTTTTGAACCTTGGATACCCCCATTCATCACACCCTTAGGGGTGGTTGCCAGGATTTGCCGTAGGCGTTTCGTTCTCTAGAAGTGAACCTTAGGATACCCTGAAAATTTCAAGTCTCTAGCACACCTCCTTCTAGTGGAACAGACAGACAGACAGACAGACAGACAGACACACAGACACACAGACAGACACGAGGTCGTTTGCATTAGCCCGCTGGATAGCTTTTTCAAAGCAGAAGGGCGGGCTAAAAAATACAAATTTCTACTTTTCTTCAAATATTAGGTAATATTCTGACTCAAAATGAGCGGTTTTGGGGGGTAGTTCCTCTACCACTTTTCGATTTGAGACCTCCTTCCATCATTTTTGGCCCAAATTCTATATTTTTTCCATTATTTGCTCCCCTAAAGTACTCTAGAAATTAACACTCAGGCAAAATGTCTACCGTCAGTCGTCATCCAGAGGTGGGAATCGGACCCGCCCGGTCCCGAGACCCGGATCCGTCCGCTCGCCCGAGCAGGCGGGCAGACGCATCTCTCGCCGTCTCGTCTCGCCTGCCCAGGCGCGCGGCGCGTACCTGTGGCGACGCCGACAGAGGGAGCCGGTGCAGGCCGGGGACCGCTCGGGGACCGGGGGTCCAGCTGGGTCCGGTTGTGGCGAGCGAAGCGGGCCCAGCTGGGCGGCCGGCGGCCGCGGTTCGCACTCTCTCTATCAAACTTCGTACATCCCTCCCTCCACGCCTTTACCCCCACACAACCACACACAACATATTTCAAGTTTTAAATTTATTGATCACAAATATTTTGCGTCGGTGAGGATTTATTCGTCGCGCGATCACTAAGGGGGCGGGGTAGGGGGAGGGACGGAATTCCCTCGTACTGGCACGGTAGCGTCCACCCTTGCGACGAATGCGTTCGCTAGCATTTCGATTCCAAGGCGGTGAGAGCAGTTGCCGTGGCTGCTTTCGCACGCAGCCTTCTACTGCCGAAAGGAACTGAAGTGCGGTGCGATCCACAAGTCACTCGTCACTCTCGGCAGGTGGCAGTCAGTCGGTCAGCACAGCAGAGGCACACGCGTTCGCTCGACATCAACGTTTGATTGAAACAACTACGGTTCGGGTCACGCACACGACCATGGCAGCGGACGCGGAGACGGCAGAGCTCGCGCCGTGCGTGGGCGTGGCGGTGGAGGGGGGGG